AGGCTGGAGGTTCAAACCCACCAGCTACTTCTTGGAAGGAAGGTTGGGTAATCTACTTCCGTAGTGATACCACCTCAGAAACCCAAGGAGGGGTCGCTATGAGTCGGGTCTGACTCGACGGCACATAACAACAACAACTTTTCAGGAAGCCACCTGGGCAATGTATTTTCCAAACCAGACTCAGAGCCCATCAAGTCAGATCTGACTCATAGCGACCCTTCCTTGGGTTTCTGAGGTGGTATCACTACAGAAGTAGATTGCCCAGCCTTCCTTCTGAGGAGTGGCTGGTGGGTTGAACCTCCAGCCTTCTGGTTAGCAGTCACATGTGATTTCTAATGTTTATATCCTTGTACTGCATAGCTTTACTTCTGGAAATCTATCCCATAGAAAGAATCTGAAACACTCACACAAGACAGATACACACCACAAGACAGATACACACAACAAGACAGATACACACCACATGCACACCCTTTAGATAAACCATGCTAACTGCAGCATGATTTATGTTGAAGAAAGTTCCAAATCATCTACATGTTCAGTGTTATCAAAATGCTGATATGTTGACCATGTGAAATTGTTCAATGTTATCAATGTCCTCAAATTTGAGAGAGTTTGTTTATGTGACAAACCTGTCTGAAAATCTATTAGGCAGCCCCATGGTGCACCATCACTACAGGTTAAGGGCATAGACACTGGACTCTTACTGCCTGAGTTAGAGTCTGGGCTCTGCCATGTCCAGTGTGACCTTCTGAGCTTCCATTTCCTCATCTGTAAAATGGATTTACTGTCAAAAACCAAACCAAACTTACTGCTGTCGAGTTGGATCTGAATCATAGCAACCCCTCCTTGAGTTTCTGAGGCAGTGTCTCTACAGAAGTAGATTGCCCAACCTTCCTTCCAAGGAGTGGCTAGTGGGTTTGAACCTCCAGCCTTCTGGTTAGCAGTCAAATGCCTTAGGCGCTCACTGCCAGGGCTTCCTACATTAGAGAATTGATGTGGGAAGTAAGTGACAGAATGTCTTCAAGGCACCCAGCATGGTGGCTGGCACATAGGAAGTGTGGTACAGCTTTTCACAGGAAGGAAGAAATTGTGACAGCATGGGAAATTCTCACAAAGCATCTTAAGTGAGAAAACCACGATTGTAAAAGCTGTCCTATGACCCCAACTGCACAACAGACAACCCTGTAGCTTCTGCATCAGAAAACTAAAGTTCTAACTTCATTAATGACCATCACAACCCTGTGAAATATACCATGATGATGGGAACCAGTGTACCCTCTCTTAGCAAGAAAAGCTTGTCTCCTTACTTGGTGCATCTCATCCAGACTCATAGCTTGTTTCGCATTCAGCCAAGTCCCAGAGAAGCCGATTGTCCTCCAACTATTCTGAAATGATAAAGAGAATTATTTTAAACATAGGTGAACCGTTGGCCCCTCCTGCCATAATCCTTTTCAATCTCTGGAATTCCAGTTTCTCTCCTCACTTCTGTCTCACACACATGAGCTTCTGGCTTCATTCTCAGATCGTGAGTATCTGTTGCTGTTAAATCTGCTTCTGGACGTTCAGGAGCTCCCACCCTCTTGTTCAGTTCCATGGGCACGTTGGTGCCGGAGCCTTGGTATGGAATGGATGCCCAGGATGGGCTGGCCTTTCCTGCTGGAGGGTCGATCAGCAGCCAGAGCTCACTACCCAGGCAGGCCATGGTTTCTTTATATAAATCTCCACCAATCAGCATGCAGTTGTCAGCAGCTCTTGCCTGCATTTACCTTTAAGCCAGAGAGCTTTAAGGATTAGGTCTTCAATGTTCCTCTCTATTATAGGATCAGTGTGTCACCCATGCGTGTGAAGCATCAGAGTCCCTGGGGGTGCGAATGGGTAATGCATTTGGCTGCTAACTTAAAGGTTGAAGGTTCAAATGCCCCTAGAGATGCCTCAGAAGGAAAGTCTTCCAGCCTCTGTAGACCCTGTGGAGCACAGGTCTACTCTGACCCACGGTGAGTCCCCATGAACCAGAGTTCACATGACCACAGCTGGGGGGGGGGGGTGTTGTATCTGAAAGGAAAGGAAGTTCTTTATGAGGCTGCTTCTTTCCTAGTTCCTCTCTTCCTATTCTGCCGGCCCCTGCGATTCCAGCTTCTGAAGAAGAAACATATGTATAACACAAATATTCTACATCCATTAACTTCTTGGTATAAAGAAAATATTCTCACCTTCCATTGAGCGTTATTTTAATATTTCATTGAATTTGAATATACTGCTAAACAGGTTTTTTATGATGTTGTGTTGTTGTTGTTGATTTTACCAAAACTTAACTGATTTTACAGTGTCACATTATTTTATCATGCTATTTATTTTATAAGGAGCTCTGGTAGCATAGTGCCTAAGGCACTTGACTGCTCACCAGAAGGCTGGCGGTTCAAACCCACCAGCCACTCCTCGGAAGGAAGGTTGGGTTATCCTACTTCCATAGTGATACTGCCTCAGAAGCCCAAGGAGGGGTCGCTATGAGTCGGGGCCAACTCGACAGCAAACAACAACAACAAAAATTTATCTTATAAATATAGAAGCATTAAGTTTGTGTGGAATATGACATAATCCTAAATGGAAAGTGTGAAGTGGTGTTATTTTCCTTTCTTTACCAAACAAAAAATAAACTCACTGCCACTGAGTTGATTCCAACTCATAGCAAACCCCTTTGGGTTTCTGAGGCAGTATCACTACAGAAGTAGATTGCCCAATCTTCCTTCCGTGGAGTTGCTGGTGGGTTTGAACCACCAGCCTTCTGGTTAGTAGTCAAATGTCTTAGGCACTTTGTCACCAGAGCTCCTTTTATTTACCATGTTGTTGTTGTTATGTGCCGTCGAGTCAGCCCTGACTCATAGCGACCCCTCCTTGAGTTTCCGAGGCAGTATCACTATAGAAGTAGGATTGCCCAACCTTCCTTCCAAGGAGTGGCTGATGGGTTTGAACCGCCAGCCATCTGGTGAGCAGTCAAGTGCCTTAGCCACTATTTACCATACATCTCTAATTTTTAATGATCTTTAATACAAACCTAAAAGAAGTAGAAATAGGTGGGGGTTTAAATGTATTTAATTTATCCTAAAGCAATGCCTTTAGTTACATATTCAGAAATTTTCATAAATTAGTGGAAACTCTCTTGCCAGATTTCTAATAGTAAAAACGAAACTGTATTGAGGCAATTACTTGGGAAATTTGGCAAGAAAGCACTGAGTTAACAAGATAATTGGTCAAATGGAATAATGGAGCCCGTTGAGTTTCATGTACAACTCGGGCAAAGAAACTGAGTACCCAGCGTTAGCCTGGGTGTCCTGGGAGATTCTGGCAGAAGCGGATCTCTGTACGAGTCATACAAGTAACTCCCTCTCTGCTTCACTGAACGCTTGGTTTCTGAGCCCCTGAAGGCAAAGAGTGATCTATTTAGCAAATCCCAGGAAAGGAGGAAGCAATCCCCAAGTCAGTGTCCTTTCAGCTCACGCAAGAGACCCGACCCTGTGCGAGAGTGAGGTGAGCACTGGAGTCACATCTCAGTTCGGTCTCAGCATTCACAATTTACAGATGGGAAACCTTGAGAGAATTCTGAGCCTGGTACTAAGACCTATCTCACAAGCCACTGTTCTGGATTAGGTGGGATAGCGTTTGTCTAAACCAAAACCCAAACCCACTGCTGTCAAGTCGATTCCAACTCAGCAACCTTTCCAGGACAGAGTGGAACTGTCCCATTGGGTTTCCAAGGCTTCAGTCTTCACGGAAGCAGATTGCCCACCTTTCTCCTGCCGAATGACGATGGGTTTGAAGTGCCGACCTTTTATTAGCACCAGGTGTTCAACCACCATGCCAGCACTTGTACAGCACCTGGCATTATTCCTGTCAATAAATGTTCGTTCTTTGGACTACTGCAGACATGTCATCAGGAAGGACCAATAGCTAGAAAAGGGTGTCATATAAGGTAGGTCAAAGGGTTAGAAAAAGTGAGAGAAATCCTCAATGAGATGGGTTGACGCGGTAGGTACAACCATGGACTCAAACCAAGCAGTGACCAGTAAGACGGTGCAAGACCAGGCAGTGGTTTGTTCTGTACATGTAATGTCACTGCAAGTCAGGGCCTACTCAGCAGCAAGAAACCTTTCTCACCTTAAATGAAGTCTTTAGTGACATTAAGGAACATTTTCCCTATAAAAAGTGGCATGCTGACCCTACTCCTGCTTTATGAGTTTTGCCAAGTCAATAACACTAAGAAATGACAAAAACTAATCACAAGAAAGAACGGTATATTTCAGTTATTAAGGGAAAGTGGTAAAGAGTGGAGGTAATGTGCTGTCCTAATCCTGTTTTATGAATTTTGCAAAAAAAAAAAAACCTAAATAAATTATAAAAAAATAATCATAATCATATTTACACATTAAAATTTTAAGATAAAATTAAATTATTAAGATAAAAATAATGAGGAATTAACTCACTGCCTGTGAAACACAAACCATTTATCACCAAATTCCATTCTATGAGAAGTAACTGAAGTCAGGTTTATGGATGCAATGCATTCCTGATGAAATTTGCAAGCCTCAGTTTTATTCATTTCTTAACAAATGTCTTCATGTGAGCACTTCATATTGTGCTTTCTGACTTTTTTCAGACTCTCTCTGCCCTGGTGTTGCTATGATTACTCACTTAGACATTAATTTCTAGAACCAAAACCAAAACCCAAGCAGGTGTCACTGAGTTTATTCTGACATCCCCACGCATGCAGAGTAGAACTGTTCCAAGGGTTTTCAAAGCTGTGACCTTTCAGAAGCAGATGGCCAGGTGTTCCAAGGCACTTCTGGGTGGGTCCCCACTGCCAACCTTTCAATTAGTAGTTGAGCAGTTAACTGTTCGCACCACCCAGGGCTCCGTGTCTAGACATAGCATGTGCTAAGATGTGTGACGGTGTCGAGGCGTGCGCCCTAACCCCACGGCATTGTGTCCTCTGCTGCCCCCAGGCGGATGCATGCACATGAAGTGCCCGCAGCCCCAGTGCAGGTTTGAATGGTGCTGGAACTGCAGCTTGGAGTGGAACCGCACGTGCATGGGTGACCACTGGTTCGACGCATAGCTCCAAGTGGCCAGACCGCCAGCAATCCGGGTGAAACATCCCAAGTGTGCAGCCATTCTCTATTACTTTTCCTCTATCCTAACTCACAGACACACACCCATTTCAAGTTCTTTCCAAAATCACTAAAACAAACTCCTGGGAGCGTTTCCCAGTACCCCTTTACCATGTAAGGGAGAATCAGCAGAGCCCTTGGTGATGGCAGTAAAAGGGTTTCCAGAGCCCAGTGATCTACATGGGGCCACAGCACAGGTGAAGGGCAGTTCACGTGTTTGCCTGCATTGTCGTTCTTGAGTGAATTAGAGTGCGGCTGGCAAAGTACTCACAGAGAGACATCGTGGCTTTAGTCTCTACATTTTACCCACCCTAGATACAGTGAAGAAGTCACTACTGGGAAATCGTTTAGTTTGTGTTGGTGGGTGTGTTGAGGGGGGGCACCTGTGTCAGTGGTTCTCTGTAAGGCTGACTGCAATGAATTCTGGAAACTATATGCAGAGCTTGGAGAACAATACTCGTATTTACATTTGCAAAGTAGATCCATTCTTAAAGAACCATATGCAGTGGTCAACAATATTGGCTTAGACCTAAGAAATTGATCTTTATAGGTCCTTTTGATGAAATACCAACTATGCATAAGTCAGCTTGTCAACTAACTGAGAAACTGTGCAAGTGACCCTGAACGCTGAATGTTTCAATTACAGGCAAGAAGGCAAAGCGTTCCATACTTTCAATCTGCTTAATGATTTGCAATCTCAGCAAAAAGTTGTGTTTTTGAAAAATATTACAAAAGGTACAGTTCGATCTTAACTATTCATTTTTCTAGCTTGGAGAAGGAGCTAATTAATATATCTGGGTTCCCTGTGAATTAGTGGTTAAGGGTCTATGAGGAAGGATGATTCATAATGATTCTGGATGTTATCAAAAGTTCTTCCCTCAGAATCTTTAAAGAAATAGCATTTCTGGAGCTAGCAAGATTACAGTGTGCCTGATGCTGTCTGGGAGAAGGGGTTACACTTCTTTGGCTGCCTGTGCCATTCTCCATCTGCAAGGCCCAGGTGGCTCTATGCATCCAGTGACAAACTCACACTAGACCATTTCCTCGGTTCACATGGATTGGAGCACTGGGCAAGTTTCCACATGTTTCAGTCCTTAGCAATATCCCAAAAAGCTGCCTTTCTCCCACACAGTGTGCAGTGAGAAAGCACAGCAGCTGCCTTTTGTTGGAAGTGACCTACCCATCTTCTCAGGAAGGCCATCTGCATCACTGAGAGCATGATGGTCTCATTAGCACGTGGCACCTGTTTGGATTCAAGGACGAATAATGGGGTCTGAGCAGGACTTGTTTTTACACACATCACTAGAAGTCCTTGCTTGGGATGACTGAATGGATGGCCTCAGGAAATTCTCCAGGGCCATAACCCTAGGCAGTCTGTCCCTCTGGCCCTAATGCCTCAATTCAGCCTGTTCTTTCAACCCTCCAGGATGGTCTTTCCTTCTCTCCCTTTCCCCTCCAGAGATGCTATACCTGGGTGAGGTGGGGTGCTATGATGGCTCCATTGGTGTCCACAGCTTCATTGGACTTCAGTGTCAGAAAACCCCACTCCCCCCACATGGCCCTAGGAGGTCACCCCTGAGTCAGGAACAATGGAGAGCTCCAAGTCCATGACATGTGAGATAACCAGCAATAACCAGGTGTCCTCCCAACAGCAGGTGTCAGGTGCTGGCTCCTGAATCCAGTGAAGCCCTGACTTTAAGTCACCAACAATCCCAACCAATAGCAACCCCTAATGTGGGAAATCAAACAGCTCCCATCCATCACATGGAGCACATGATGTTTTTCTGTCATCCACAGCTTTGTTTGAAAATGATGTTTTAACTGTTGCCTCCTTCCAAATTTGTGTGGTTTGTTGGGTTTTTGCAGCACACAGACCAGGTTTGCCCCTGTGTCTCAGGCCACTGTAGAAGTTTCTAGAGCTGTTTAGCCTTCCAGTGTGGTCTCTTTTCCTTTCTTGGTGGTGGTCTTTTTTTTTCCCCCAGAATAGAATGGTGATTCTTAAAATAAGTTAAAGAAAAACAACCACTATAAGTGAACATGAGTCACAAGCAGTATTATGTGAACATGAATGTATAAAAAAAATAGATGTATCAGAGGATAGAAATGAAGTCTTTGCAGAAGAATATTTTTCTCTGAGATGTGTGAAGAAATACGTGACAACTGTATATGAGTTTGTACTTAATTGTCAATAAAAGCATACAAAGAGCTTGTGAATCCATCTTTGACAACGGTTTGTCTCTTTTTTTCTAAAGAATATTTTATTGAGTTTTTGATGAAAGTTTATACAGCAAGTTAAGTTCTCATTTGACAATTTCCACACAAACTGTTCCATGACATTAGTTCCATTCATCACAGTGTGTCACCGTTCTCTTTCATTGTGTTCAATTTGTTCTCGTTCTGATGGCCTCAATCCAGGTAAGGGGAAGGAGGGAGAGAACCTACCCAAGGCAGGAAGTGGGAAGAAGCCAGGGCTAAGGGCTGGAACAGGTGGGGGGAGGGAGGGAGAGAACCGACCCAAGGCAGGAAGCCAGCAGAAGAAGCCAAGGCCGATGGCCCCGATCCAGGTAAGGGGGGGGAGGGGAAGAACCCACCCAAGGCAAGAAGCCACTGGAAGAAGCCAGGGCCGACAGCCCCAATCCAGGTAAGGGGAGGGAGGGAGAACCTCCACCCAGGCAGGAAGTGGGAAGAAGCCAGGGTCAAGAGCCAGAACAGATAGAGGAAAGGCCAGGAAGTGGGCAGAGAGGTTTGGAACAACTAAGAGAAACTAACCTGTCTGTCAGTTTGTCCTGCTGTGGTGGCTAGCATGTTGCTGTGAGTCTAGAGGCTATTCCACCAGTGTTTCAAACACCAGCAGGGTTCCCCATGGTGGAAAGGTTTCAGCAGCACTTCCAGACTGAGACAAACTCAAAAGAAGGAAGAGGCCATCTGCTTCTCAAAGAATTGTCCAGGGAAAACCTTAAGAAGAGCAGTGAAACCCTGTCTGATACATTACTGGAAAACTTTATGAATAGCCATGAAACATTGTCCAATATACTGCAGGAAGATGAGCCCCTCAGGTCAGAAGGCACTCAAAATATGACTGGGAAAGAGCTGCCTCATCATAGTAGAATTGACCTTAATCATATGGATAAAGTAAAGCTTTCAGGACCTTCATTTGCGGACGTGGCATGACTCAAACTGATGAGAAACAGCTGCAAATCCATTAATAATTGGAACATGGAATGTACAATGTATGAATCTAGGAAAGTTGGAAGTTGTCAAAAATAGAATGGAATGCATAAAGATTGATTCCTAGGCATTGGTGAGCTGAAATGGACCAGTTTTGGCCATTTTGAATCAGGCAACCATATGATCTACTATGATGGGAATGCCACATTAAAGAGGAATGGTGTGGCATTCATCATCACAAAGAATGTTTCAAGATCTATCCTGAAGTACAATGCTGTCAGTGACAAGACAATATCCATATGCCTATGAGGAAAGCCAGTTAATACTACTATTATTCAAATTTACACACCAACCACCAAAGCCAAAGATGAGGAAATTGAAGATTTTTATCAACTTCTGCAGT